TTGTTCTAGGTCAGGGGAATGCTGAATCTGTGAGATGTGCTGCACGAATAATCTGAGTGCATGTCATGAACCCTTATGGAGGTTTTCCAGACATCCTGCTGCTTTTACAGAAATCTTGAACAAAAGCTGTGAAGCCACTTTTATCGTAGTTGTCCCTGTTGCCTTGTATCCACATTTTCTTCACCAAAAGAAAGAAAAATGGTCTTCCCACATTCTTCTACACATATTTCCAAGTATATGGGAGTCATCACACAGAGAAGAAACTGTACTGTTTCTTGGTTTCCCTTTCCAGCTATTATTATTGCAGCTTTTTGCTAGTGCAATCTTCTTGATCTGTGCACTGTACAAGATTAGTGATTTTTGCATCTACTGTTAATGTCATGACATTTCTCTACAAGACTGCTCATCTTGAAACATTACACTGAGAATGAAGATCCATTCATTTGTTACCCTAATCCTGACTTCCAGAAATAGTCAACCTCTTTCCCTACTTCTGAGAAATATATTTTCTATCTCCTCTGTGTATTTCAGCACCTGTAACAGTCCTCTGTAAAGAAATGGGAAAACAATGGTGGTATTAGTGAAAAATACATCCTTTGGGTACTTATGAAATATGAAATAGTTTTTTTCAACCATTTTGTTATCAATATTAGTTTTTTTTTAACTGTTGTATCAGTTAATGATATCCATCTTTACTAGGAAAGGACAGTGACATTACTCAGACACAGCCTTCTCAGACAAAGTCTAAAAATTACTCTGTCATTACTATTGATAGTATGAAATGATGTCTACTGGTTTTGAAGGAGCCATGTACAGATTGTTATATAAAGAATTTAAAAAGAGCCTTAATGGTGTTTGATTTGAAGTATCAGTTAAACATTTATCATATCACACTGACAATTTTCAGCACACATTGAGAGAACTAATTGTTTATCATATTTGCCAGTACCACGTCCACTTTATGATGTGAACAGCTAACTTAATGAAGTATGTGGATGTGCTGATCTTCCTGAGCTCTCTCCAGAGCCAGGAATACATTCCCCAGCACTGATATGTTCAGAGAATTCAGTGTCATAAACATGCCCATTTGCATGGTGTTGTACCCCAGAAAGAGCAAATTCATTGAACAGTTGCAGGCTGTCTCTGCAGCAAAATTTGAAGTGAACATGTCTGGGCGGAATCTGACAAATGTCAGAGAATCACTGAATGATTTAGAAAAGTATCTGAGGTGTTGTGGTTCAAGACTCTTCCTCCTCCTTAAAGCAGGAATATCTTTGCACATTTGACTACAGTTTTAGACCAGTGTCTAAAACCTTCTAATTCCATCCAGATGAAATCTGCAAGAAGAAAGACACTATGTCTAAGCATCTCAGATATACAAAGACATTATGGAAGAGAAAATGGCAGAAAACATTAGTGTTCAACAACAAAGCTAATCATGCAGAAGTGGGTGCCTGAATTTAGCTAATGATTTTAAACTACTTTACAGCCCAATAAATTTAGATTGCTCCAGTGGGAATTTCCTGTGAAGAGCAGACTCAGTCCTGCAGTCAATCCATTAGTTAAGCTATCTTTGTTCTTGTGAATAATGTTATTTGCATTTCTGTAGGCTTCAGAGAGAGAATGTGGCTGTATGGAAATAGACTGTATGAAAGGAAGTAATGTAAATATTTGTAAGAGGACAGTACTCTTCCAGAAGTCTAAAGGACATTCTATAAGTAATCTGTAGTTACTTCAACAGGTAAATGTAACAAATGTTTATACTGAGACAAAAAGTTTCTATTTATCTTGACTGAATGTATGGTTGGGAGAAATTCTGCATTAAGGCCTGTTCCATATATGACTACTGTCCACAGTAATTTTTAATTTGAAGACAGAATTGAAACTATGTTCTTATGTAATATTGTTTGTGGGAGAACTTTACTCAGTATAAAAATAGACAAAGGCATAATATCTCATTTTCTCTTTTTATTTCAAAACTGGCTGAATTAGGAAGCTGATATGTGAATATTTTTATCAAAGGACAAATATTAATGGGTTTGGAGAATATAATAAGGAATGAGAATTTCTGTGACAATAATTTAGAAAGAGAAAAAAAAAAAAACAAAACCAAACAACCAAGTAAAAAACCAACTGTTAGAGTGTGAGAGTGTTGGACAGAAAATACAAAATACCTGCACACAGGATTCAGGAAATATGTTTTCCTGAGGGCATTAGAAAAATACTGGTCAACTATAGTTCAACTTGTCTGGTAGAATGCTCTTTGCTGCTTCCTGCTGCCCACACTATTGTCTGCTCAGAGTTCTGGCACATATCATCGCAGCTTTCCATTGCTGACATCACCTGATTGCACGATTCATTCAAGTGAGTTAAGCCTAGTAACTCCAAAATATGTAGCAGCAGTCAAAAGAAACTGAACTCCAACCTACACAGCAAGTTTCTGCTTGGTAGCCCCATAGAGCTGGCTCTGTTCAGGGTAGCCAGTGTTACAGCAGTAGAGCCAGCCAGAATTGCTGTCATTCAAGGGAAGATGTGGCCCCTTAATTTTTTATCCTGATGTTTGGGTTTTACTTAAACCCCCATCCCCCACAACCTTGCAGAATTATTGTTTCCTGAATACATTGTTTCCACAAGTACTGGCAGTCCTGACATTGATAGGCAGTGAATCAATACTTTTATAGAATCATGAAGCCAAAATGGTTCTGCAGATCTGCAGTGTGTAGTATGTGGTTTTCCATTTTGGATATAATAACTGCAATTTGAAATACTCTCCCACAAGCATCAGTTGCCTGCTTTAGGAAATTCACAATAGAGACTTTAATTAGGAAAGAAGAAACTGCATCATGCCATTTAGAAAGGAAAAATTCACACAAGATTTTTTTTTTTTCCAGTTTTGGGCTATAATAGCAATAACTGTCTCTAGCTGAGGACATTTCCTGGGGCTTAATGGCCCATGGCTTTGCTTCTTCGGCTGATCATCATCATCTCCCAACAGTCATTAATCCCCTACAAATGCCCTGCACCTCAGTCATTAAATGTGCTTAAACGTGCTTTTTCTGAAAATGAAATACTTCTATATTTAATGCATCTTCCAGGAGTAGGAGTGATCTTTCTGAGGTGACGAATGAAAGAAATTTAGTAACGTGTCAAAGAAGTACTAATTATGACAAGTGGATAAATTCTGTTTCTGGAGATAGCACGACAAAGAATTTTTCCACAGTAAGAGCACGTTATGTGTAAGTCATCATTTTACATATGTCACGATTCACACTCATCCCAACTGCATAACAGCAATACATAACAGGAATACAGGTAGTTATTCGTAGTTAGGTTTTTTCTGCAGAGTGTCTCAGTATAAAAAAAAAAGCATCTCACAAAACATGGATAGTGTGTGCCTGCAGCACTGCTTAGAAAAAACTTTCCATTCCGTAGCTGTAAAAACAGAGCTGTGCAGTTTTACAAGGTGTTTGTGATAATGCAAGAAAAAAAAAAAAGAAGTTAAATCTTTTCTACCTAAGGTCTGAAACTCTTCGAAATAAATCTTCTGGTGAGCATTTTATGCGTCTCTTACAAATAGGTCCTCAAGCACAGCACCAACTGCATCATCAGATTTTTAAACACAGTAGACTGCCTCCCCTTGCTCAAGTTGAATTAAAGCCTTCAACAAAAGCAGTTGAAAGGAATTTGTCTTGATTGAATGAGAATTGAATTTTATTTTATTTTATTTGAATTTTACTTACTGATACAGTGTATTATTTTCATCCTGTGCTACTAAGAATGCATAGCTGTCCCAGATTGTGAGAGGGATCAGACCTGATCCTGTCACATTGCCTTTACTGAGTGAAAAATTAGTACCTTTTAGGTATTATGGTAATTTATTATTTATGTTGGACATTGTAATCTCATGTACCTCAGTGAGTGACTATGTAGATAAAAACAGAAATAGAACTTTGGGCATGCGTTGCTAAATGTTGAATGTTAAATGATGTTATCTGTAAAATTGGAGCTCTCCTAGTCAATACCTTTTGATTGCNTTGCTAAATGTTGAATGTTAAATGATGTTATCTGTAAAATTGGAGCTCTCCTAGTCAATACCTTTTGATTGCAGATTAACCTGAAAAAAGAATTATTATAACCTGACTTCACAATTTCTTTTCAAAATTTTCTGTTCCTTCAAACAAAAAATCACATGAACAAAGAATCTTCCAGTATAAATGGAACTCACAGTAAAAAATTTCATTTACTTCAGTAACCAATAACAACTGCCTTAATTTTGCAATTTTCTAAGTTAGAATAATTTTTCTGTGTGAAAGTCAAAGGTTTCTTTCAGAAAATTTTAAATACAAAATGACACATACCCACATGTACACACATTTTATCTGGCTCTCCTTCTCGTTTTTTTGGACAGAGCTATTACCTGATTTAGACTTCACTCTAGAATTATTTCTACTCATCCTAAGGCAGTTTTCAGCAAATAAACTAGTGAAAAAAAGTTCTTAGATCTCTCATTGAGTTCTCTGACTAAGAAAAAATAAAATTGCACAGAGCCAAGGACAAGACAAAAAGTATTGCACCTTTAAGTTGTTTCCAATCTACTTTATATCTCATCATAAATAGCAGGCTGGGGAATAAGCACTGATCTATTGTACTGCAGCTAGAACACTTCTTTTGCCATAGATTCTGTTTAAGGCTACTTTGGTTATTTGTACCTATCATGTAACTTACAGTGTCAGCATTCTTCAGACCATTTGTCAAAATTCAACAGGAATGCACACAAGAAAGAGTCAGAGAAAAAAGAAAGCTTTTTTCCATGAAATTTTTTTCTGTGAAATTTTTTCACTTTCCTAAAGTGCATTTATTAGTATGCCTAGAATTCCTGTATAATTTTTCTACTTAGGAGTTCTCTGTTTTCACCCATTCATTATATTTACAGATAAGTAGAATTAAAAAAAACCACAAAAACTTATATAATGTTTCTCATTTTATATTCTGTGTTGCAGATCTTGTTTTCCCTCTGTGCTGCATTCTGGGGAATCCAAATCATGAAGCGGATCACTTCGTTCAAAGATAAACGTCATTGAAAGAGCAAATCTATCTCTTTAATTATGGAAACAGCACTTTGGAATAATGTTCTAAGTTCCTTGGAATTAATCAACCATGAATCTTACTGAATTGCAATCAGTTCACTTATGATAGGAGAGGTTTGTGATTTGGTAAGAATGTTTGAAAGCTTCTTTAGAGGGTGTATTCATTTTTATTTGATTTTTTAAAGAAATATTTAATTTCTCCCCAATTTAAATAAAATGTTCATTCGCAACATGGGTTTTTTACATTCATAGGATTGCAAATTTTTAGAAACCATGTAAATCTAATTTCATTTTTGCAGTAATTTTGTTAGTAATTATATGTGAAAAGTATTTTTCACAAGAGGAATTATTAAAATCATATTTGTTGTAACCTGGTTTAAGTGACTGACTGTCTTCCTATTGAGGCTAAACATAAACATATGTGAATGTCGGTTTTTCTGTAATGATTGAATTACACCAGAATCTCCCTGTCATGCCCAATTCAGTGTTCATAACATACAGCTACATGAGGATGAGTAGTCGTAGCAAGAAAATGATTAAAAACAGCATGATAAAATAACTCGAACTAGTATGAGTTGAAACATCTTAAATAAAATTGGCTGATGTATGTACTGTATAATGCAGACATGCCGTTTAGGGTGAATTATTTATGGAGTACACCTGTGTTGCCAACTTTAGATGCTGATGAAGCCAGAATTTACACGTGGGTATCCCATTGACTAATGTTACTCATGTGACAAAATATTTGCGAGGCTGGGCTCTTAATTTCTGGTAATTTCCTGCCTGGGTTATGTCCGGGGAGATGCACATCTTGTCTTTCAGGAGCTGTTGGAAAGACGGTTTGTACTAAGATAGGAAAATTAAATACAAATGGTAAAGGGAGTCTCCAAACAGCAGGACTGGCAAAAATACTGGATCTAGTTTGTTTTTCTTTCCTCACACTCATCCAAAATTTTTTTTTGGCTCCAAGCCTTTTAGAAGTGCTTAAAGTCAAGTAGCTAAAAAGTGGAGGCTGTCTTGCATGCTTCAAACTAGTAATAATACCTGGATTTAAGAATGAGTTTAAGTTTGTGTTGGTTTTTTTTCCCCATTTAATTTTCCTTTAAAATGTTAATGACAGTCTAACAGACATCTCAGATTTAGACAGATAGCCTAGTTTTAATTAACCAATATTTTCAGTCTCTAGCTGTAACAGATGCCACTGTCTACATAACTGGATGTTTCCAATAAATTTTCAGAAACACAGTAATATTATATAAATAAAATTGCTACAATCGGTGGAATTAGTATCATCTTAATTTTGTCATAGGATCATCAAAATGCTTGGGTTGGAAGGGACCTTAAAGATATTTAATAGAATATTTAAAAAAGTAATATAATCTGATTCCAGAAGTACAAGACAATCTACAAACTTCTTTGGTGATCCCATAGGTTAGCATACATATGTTTTCCAAACTTGTAATGGTGACATCAACCTCACAGGAATATTTTGAGGTCGGTTTAATATAACGAAGAGTCATATTGGAAGTCAGTTTCCATATCAAAATAAGTCCTTCAAAGAGACAGGAACAGGACAAAAATTTAACATCTTCTGCATTTAAAAATTGAGAGTCTTAGAGGGACAACAATGAAGAACTGAGTAAAATTAAATTAATTTCAAAGCTATCCTAATGAATGTCATGTATTTACATGAAGTAATGAAAGGAATGTAATTTTGAAGGCAAATATGAAATGTGTCTGATGAAGGCAACCTAGTCATTAAAGCAAAGGCCAAATAAATTTCCACTTTTCCAAGGGTTTTTAAATCCCAATTTCCTATTTCCAAGGACTTGCCATTGTGTATCAACATTCTTCATTGCATATTTATCAATAGGGTCTGAGAACACCCCCTCTTGCTCTCCCTCTTGGAGACTCATGTGCTTTACAATAACATACCCTAGGTATGTATAAGCAATCCTTTGGATACAGACTGGAAGCTAGGATTTGCCCTTAATGGAGAAGAGAGTTTCAAGGGCAAGCTCATAGAAACACCCTTGGCTGCATCATTGTTTCAGTAGCTATGTGATATGTAGCTGTAGTCCTGTCTACTTGCCTGTAACAAATTTTTTAAAATATAAATTAATTCATGTTTTAGGCACCTGACACCACTATTGGATCTAGTTCATGCTGTCTTTATAGCCACTGCATAAGTGAAATAATCCTTCGAAAGGTCTCTGGGTTTAAATAATTAAGAGACTCTGGAGACTAATTGGCCACTGAATTGAATTATGTGCAGTTAATATACATCATACAGTTAATTGAATTAATTTAATGCAAACAGTGTTCATTGCTAGCACATATGGGTGATATTTTGGTAAGCCACTTATCCCTCTCACCTTTTTAGTATTCCATTTAGTATGGGATTGAGTGAAATCAGGTGAATTATGTGAGGAAATTAGTGAACAAAATATTTATGCAGAACTAATAAATTTTGTGCGAGTAACTATCTTTCTTTTAGCAAACCAGTCTTTCACATCTCTGGAAAGAAAAATATTCTGCAGACTAACAGCCTAGCCTCACATGTCCAAGTGAGGAACTTCATAAATAGCATTTGTAATTTGCACTATTGCATAAGACTTCCTTTTGGTCTTGTTTGTCATTCAACTTCACAGGGACACACCTTAGGAGAAAAGTGTAGATAAACAAAACTTTTTTTCATCAAGATTATGAAAAAAGTGACTTCCCCTGCTCCTACCAGCTGTTGTAATGTCACATCTCTACACATGGCCTTTCCCGGACTATGTACACAGCAATATCAAGTTACTGAAAACCCAGAAGTAAGCAGCTGAATCCTGTGTCACTTGGGATCTGACCCTACACCATTCAGGTCATTGAAAACTTGCTGCTGACCTCAGGATCAGGGCAGAGCATTCCCTGTATGAAAACAAGAATGATGCAATATTTACTGCAACTCAAGCTTCGGTGCAGTGCATTGATTAAAAAGTAACGGAATTGCAGAATTACTTATTCCTGAAAGTAGATAACATTGTATCCTTTGTGTTATAATAAAATCAGAGCCCTTTGGAGGATAAATGCTGACAGCTAAAGCTGTAAGCTATGTATACCAGATACAGAAGACTCAGGACCCCTTCCTCTTGTCTTTCCTGTCTTCAGCTTTCTCTCAAATCTGTGGGATTAGGGACATTGTTGCTTAAACCATTATCTGAAAGGAGGTAGTTGATCAAATATTTTAAAGCTACCTTTTTACAGACAAATGTCTGTGAGCTTTCAGACATTTATGTTGTGCGATTAGAAACTACTAAATTGTACAGCACCAATGGTAATAGTTGTTTGGACTTTTCTTGTTCTTTAACTAGGGATAAAGAGCTAAGTCTCAGCAATGGAGTTCATCAGGAACAGTAACTCCTAGAGAATGCTCAAAGCACTGCCTATTATGCAAACTCTGCTGCCCTTAGTTGACATTTTTCTTAAACTCTGGCTCCTGGAATCATGTGAATGAAAAAAATATTTCTGCCTGCTGAAAATAAGAGCTATAGAAAGTTCAAAATCTAAAAGGCAAACAAGAATACTTTAAAATATTTTCCCTTTTTAAAACACCCTAGTGATTGCAGGAGGCTTGACTCATGGTTTTTAAACTCTTGGGATTGCTAATGCTGAATGGGAAAAAACTTTTCCTGTAAAACCTCTGGTTCCAGCACAGGCGTATACAATGACCATGAGGCAGTTTTGCTGGGTTTCGTAGTTCCGTGCTGGCATTTGACCAGCAATTCAGTTTGGAAGTAAAACAAAGTGGGCCACAAGCTGGCTCTCTGAAGGCCCCTGACCCTCAGTAACTCCCAGCACATGCAGACCTCAGCCACGGCATGTCCTGTTGCCTTCCACCCCCAGCAGTTCTGGGCCTAGAAAACAAGAGATGTCCTGTGGACTTCAGGATTTTCTCTTTCTATAGGGGAAATAAGTGTTAAAATACTGCATTTGAAACTCAGATACAAACCACAAGGTAAAGTGAAAATGAGGTATGCTGGAGAAGCACTTCCATATTAGTATCAAGGCCAATGGAAAACTTGGCTCGGTTCTTTGTCAGTTTTGCCCCACCTATGGAAAACAGCAGAAAAATGTGGAAACATTGAGTAAGACTGAACTGTTGAGTGTCCTTGTGTTTATGGTTTGGCACTGAAAAGTGATACGAAATGAATTCTCTCCACCCCACCCCTTGCTAAATTTTTACTGCTTCCTCCTGTATTCTTTCTTCCCATTTCTCTCTCTCTCTCTCTTGTGTTTATTCATCTTTGTAAAATATCCTTTCCTGTCTTGCTTTAGGTTTGCTATGTGTGGAGGTACATGTGGCATATTTCATATCCACAAATATTTCATTTTCTTTTAATAGATGAAACCAAAAATACTTACCTAAAGGTGCCTACTTTCTTTACTGTTCATGTCAGTCAACAGACTCTTCTAATATTCAAAACACACAATATATGGCTCATGAATTGTTAATGTTATATTTATTTATTTCATATGTGTCTGCCTAGTGTCCTCTAATGATTCATTTTCTATTTACACTCCAGTAACATAGCAGTGTTCTTTTCCCTATTTCTACTTCCTCTCCTGTTTCTTTGATATTAATTCCTTGGAGTTACTTTTTGTCTCATAGCTGTCACCGTCTTTTTGGTTCAGGGTGTACCACTGCAGTTTTTATGGACCATTTTCTAACCTGCTGGTTTTAGCATGGCAGAGAGCCGAGTAATAATAATGTTTATTAAAAAGAGATTAAATGAATAAAGAAAGTCATGGAACATTTTAAGCACTATGGAATTTGTAGTGTTTCTGCTACTCACATTTTTCCACAAACTTTGAATGTAACTACTTATCTGCACATAAATTACAATTATAGACATGTTTACCAGGAAACAAAAATACCATTAAGACAATTGAGCTACAATTTTTAGATCAAAGAATAGCTTATTAACTTACAGAGTGTGATCACGTCTTTTGCTGGTGTCTGTCTGCATTGAGGTCATGAGCCTGTTATTTGAAGATAATGGCATTACTCTTTGCTTCAAATAGCAGCATTTGCGATTTCAGATCTAACAGCCCTTTACCTTCTCTCCACTCATGACTCACCGCTGACTCATTACCTTTAATCATTCTGAAAGCACAGGTTTTATTTTTGCTCTTCTTTAATCACAATGCAAAAAAAAATGCTTTGAAGGAAGGTAAAGTGTTATACACTGCAGCAGTGTAGGTATGTACCAACACGCTTATTTTTGTAAATCTTCAAGTATTCCCAGTTTCTTATCCATGACCACAAATTGAATTTCACAGCCATGTCTAACAGAGGAAAAAGCCTGATGATCAGGGATTGGTGGGAGCAATTAAAGGGAAGTTTCTGAGATTCTGACAGCAAAGTTTGTCATTGAAGGTCAGATCACCTTTGGTTTTATTTATATATTATTTATTTTAACTGAAATACAGCTATGAGAAAGAAGTAACATATTCATGACTTCATGGCCAATAATAAGATATACAGTTGAATTTTTTTTTCCAGCAATATTCCTTTTATTCATGGGAAAACCTAAGAGCACCTCATGCCTATAGTTAATTATGGTTAGTTATGCCTGGT